CTTCTCAATAACATTTTAGTATGATGATAAGCATAAATATTCATTGTACTTTAAATAAGAACCTATAGTGCTTCCCTTAATTGCTATTAACCTTCGTTAAGATGAGAGTTGAACTGTGTTGGGTGCTATGCAAACACTCATTAAAGTGCTTTCCCTCCCTGGTAAATCTTGCAGCTAATGAAGACAAATTATATAAAAGCAGCTGGGGGCTATGCCTATTAACCTGGCCACCGAGAGTTGTTTTATTAGAGGTGTCATGAGAAAGAGGTATCTTAAAATGGGATTGTAGAAGGCAGTTACGATTCAGGGTGACATTTCTATTTCTCGTAGTACTTCATGAATACAAGCATTGATTCTCCTTTGTCTCAATGAGACTTGAGCTTATGCTCAAGGTAAACTCCTGCTTAAATCCTTCTCTGAATTAGATGAAAAGAAGACACAGGAGAACTAAAAACAGTTTTGTAACTAAAATGCAGGACTGGGTTTAATGGTATGGAAAAGGAAGAAGGAAGGCTTTCCTATTTAACACCCCGAAAGTAGAGCAAAACAACGTGCACTGTGGGCATGAAAACAAAAAGCCAGAATTTCGTGGGCTGAAATAGATGGACTCAACAGAAAGCAACACAGTAAAAGGGAAATGGTCTGTGTTGACCTCCATAGACATGGTTACCATCTGGGAAGCTTGCAGTCTTAGAGTTGCAAATAGAAAATGAGAGTTGTCTTTGCCCTCCCTCATTGTTAGGCTGTTCAGGAACCCTACTGAAATTCAAATAAATTCGCGATAACTGCATATTGCACATCTTCTGTATTGTGAGTTTCCTGTAGTCAGTGTGTGTTAGATCAGAATACAGTTAAACCATAGCAGTGATTACGCATAAACAAAATAAAAAAAATAAGATCTTAACTGAGATTACTCTGTCTGAAAACTAACTTTTGTATGTTTTGGACATAGCCTCAGGTGCATGCCAAAGCATCGTGTATCCCTAAAATGTGGCTACCTTTGGTTCACAATGGGGCTGGAGAACAACAGGAGGTAATCACTCGATAATCCAGTTAGTGCTCTCAGTCAGAAAGTAGCTACAGATATGAAAGTCACAAAAGGCAGTGCTGAATTAATTGCAGTAAATCTTCTACAGGCAAGATTTCAGTTGCAGAAGCACTGGGGCCAAATTTGCTGATTGTTCCTTCAGTAGTATTAAAATGGGGTGGATTTGGCACTGAATGGCAGAGTGAGACTTACTTCAGACGGCACACCAAATAAATCTCTTCACTGAGGTTAATAAACCAGTGCCAAGAATAAATCTGACCTGCAGTGTCACTGAGCTGTACTAAGGGATATCTCACCAGAAGGTTTACTACTTACATATTTGAAGGCAATGGTAATATTGGCCAATTAGTGGGCATTATGTTTGCAGTGAGGGAAGACAGAAATAGAAGATCTGGTCTGATTTCTAAATCTTACCTTCATCTGCTCACAGTAATCACTCTTAATTATGAGAATTTTGTTTCATTGCCATGCAGAAAGTTAAGCTGCATGAGTCATGGGCAGAACAGTTTGCTTTTAATAAATGGAAGTGAATACGGTAATAATAAAAAAGAAATTGAAAAAAAAATCAGTTCGACTCCAAACCCATCTGCCCGTCTAGACAGATATTGCCAAGCTCCTGTCTGCTAAGAAGTATCTTCTTAATAATGCTGTACTAATGCTACTACTTTTACAGTACTTTCCATTTTTCAGTGCTAATTCATCATTGGCTGGACTTGAGACAGTCTTTTGCCGAGTTTGATAGCATTTTTGTGTCTTGCTTTTCTGTAATGTGCTATTTTGAATGCCATGTCCAATCAATTAGGGAATCACAAGAATGTTTTAGGCATCAGTTCCCAGAGCTGGGCAATAATCCTTGTCCCTGTTCTTCCAGGGTTGCCTATTCATCTTTTCCTGGCAGAGACCGTGTGTCTCCCCATTCCCCTCTCCTATAAAAAAAGTCCTTGTAGTGGCCAAATGCTCTGCACAGGCCTGTTTTCCTTACGGCTCTCTGCCTCTGACTGGAACCCTGTGGGGAAGGGGGTTGTGTGTGTGTGTTGGCACCTTCTCCTTCTCCGCCTCTAATTTACCTGCTTCATGTCAGAGGCTGTCTTTGCCTTTATTCTTCCCTGGCTTTTTCTCCCTCCCTCCCTCCTGCCCTTTAAAGGGCTTTCCCAAGCAAGTTGCAAGTGTTCACGAAAAGGGAGAAACTGGAATAGCAGAAGTGATGGATGTACAGAGAACGGAAGGCAGAGCTTGCCACCTATTTTATCCATTTCCCCAGTTATGTGTTGATCTCCTGAGTGACTCTGACTCTTGCTTTTACAGTTGGGTCCTGGTGTCTCGGTAGCTATGTGCCTCCCTCCCCAAAGGATGGGATGCTGGGGACAGCCTGGCTTCCAGACCAGCACGGAAGCAATTCGGACATGCATCAACTGCCCTTGGTTGGGAGAAGGGACTGTCTTGGGCTGCACCAAGTCTGATGTGAATAGAAACTCAAACAGAATCCTTTGCTCCTGACATTCAATTCTGAAACATCACCTCCAGAAAGACGAGAAAGCAGCAAAAATAAAATTATTGTCCCATAGCAAGGCAGGAGATCAGTCTCTTCTAGTGCTGCCTGGACTTGTCATGTGGTCTTCCTTTTGTGTAAATACTTGGAATAACTCCAGTCAAGTGCAGGGGGATTATTCACATTTCTCACCTGTGAGAGAAAAGTATAGATTCAGGCTTACTAGAAATTACTGAAAATACCTTTTTTTAAAAAGAGAAATAATATTAAAAGCTGTTGACTCATGGAAACCTAAACTTCCATGGAGTTCCCATCTGACAGAAGTCAAGGCAAGTTGGACAACGAATCCACTTTGGAATTAGAAAGTAACATTTGAAGTTGAAAAACAAATATTAAAAATACTGTGAATGTTGAGAACTCTGAAACTTGGGCCCATATTGGTACCTCAGATGTACCAGCTACCTTTTATCTGTAGCAAAGATTTCCTGCTTGTAGGAGCAACCTGTTAATACCACTTTATATTTTGAAGTTAAATCAATATGCTGAAAGCCTTATAGATCCTCAGGTGAAAGATGATGACATTATATATGCAGTATAACCACAAAAGGGATCACAGAGGATGGGGTAACTATGGGGCAAATCTACCTGCAAGTACTGCTTAAAGACAACAAGTGTGGCTGGGTAGCGCAAATGCTCCAGCAACGTATCTCTGCTTAGAAGTGATGTAACGGGCAGTGCAAGAGCTGCCAAAGGTTGAGCTAGTAAATTCTTCCTGGTTTTTTTCAGAAAGATTTCTAAAGTTTCCTAGCTTCTTTTGAGGCTCAATTTGACTCAGACCAACTCAATCCTTCTTTTACTTTCCTCTTGTTTTTTGTTTTTGTTTTTGTTTTTTTTTTTCAAATCAAACCTTGTTAACTCTACTCTGTGTCTTTGCTGTCAAGTCCATTCCCTTGTGATTCGTGATGGCTTCCAGAGCTCCTGGTGGAGAAGAATGTGCAAGTCTTGTTATTTCAACTACATGATCGGAGTTATGCCCTCTATTAGTTGATGGCACACATTTTTCTTTTGAAGTCTCTTTCCCTTTTATGCACGTTATGGGTGTGCCAGATGTGTTAAGTGGCACTCCTGCATAGCAGGTGAAGAGTGGGGTATGTTTCTGGCTATGATTCTACATGAAATACAGAACAGCACAGTTTTGCAGACCTGAGAAATTGTATGCTGCTGCTTACTATAAAAAACCTCTTACTCTTCTTAAATCCCCCAGAGATGCTGCTAATTAAAGGAGATATTCATGCCCCCCTTACCTCTCCCAATTCATATCAGAGCCCTGAGTATAATTTGGATCTCATAAGTTTTGGGAGCTCTCAAAATGCCTTATATAAAGGGCCTATGTAAAGCCCATTTTATTCACTGTGCTGTACCAGTACTGAAGGTGCAGCATGAGAACGTGTCGATCTGTCGCTCTTCTGTAGCCAAGCCATCACTGCCCTTCCTGTGGCCAATTCCTCCTCTGGAAAAGAGCAAGTTCAGCTGCTTCTGGTCCCCCGGAGAAGCAAACAAGTAGTTCCTCTGGGTGCCATGGTGCATCAGAGTCTCAAACCCAACCGTGTAGTAGGTGGAGAGCTCAGTTATGATCTCTAAGAGAAGCTACATACTTACCAAAGCGGAATGGTCCAAGTAGGATTAATCCGCTCCCAAACTGCTTCTGTATGCACTAGAAATTTTTGATACTTTTTGACATGTGGCAATGCTGTGGTCTGTACTGGAGTGAGAACTCCAAAGTCGTATTCAGTTTTACAGTTTCCTTTTTAGATTGGGAGCTAATATGTAGCAGGACCTACATTTTATTTTTTTCTGTTTTGGCTATGTTGTTAGGGAAATAAGGTTCAGATTTTAAGAGCATAGGGTTTGTCACTGGAAATTAAAATTGAAAAAGCCGGTAACTTCCCTCCCCATCAAAACCCCCCTAGTGTAATTGAAAGCTAGACCTTGCCAGCACACAGCTTGCTGCTTTTAAATTGACGAGGAGCCTCTCCATCGCGGGCGTTTGGTTGCAACTGCAGCAGCTAAACTCATCTCTCTAAATAGACGGATTCATTTAGCTGAACCAAAAAACGGCCGGATTCCTCCGGACGCAGGTGGGGATCCCTGTGCCGGGCGGGAGGGGTGCGGGGGTAGGTTCCCTGCATGTGCCTGGGGAGCAGCCCTTGGCGGCCCGGGGAGCGGGCAGGCGGGGGGCCTGGCTCCACAGACCTGCCGGCATCCAGCTTTTGCCGTTCTCCGCGGCGTACGCTTTTTTGCCTTTTTTTTTTTTTTTTTTTTTTCTTCCCCCTTTCCTTTTTCCCTCCCTCTCTCCGGAGAAGCGTCGGCAGCCCTGATTTGCTGGGGAGCGGCGGAGGCTCGCTCTGGGCAGAGCCGGGCTGCGCTGCCGCTGCTGACGCGTGGCCGCCGCCGCCGCGCCGGGAGCTGCCCCGCGCCCCGTCCCCGCCGCTCCGCGCCGCCGAAGAGGGACCTCCGCGCCGCTCCGGCATCGCTGCCTGCGGCGCCCTCCCCGCCGCGGGAAGCAGAGGGTATGCCTGGGGGGGCGGGAGCAGATTGCATCCCCCCCCCCCCCTTTTAAATATATACGTATTTATTTATATATATGTGTGCGTGCATATATACATTATATATATATACACATCATTCTTAGGAGCCATTTTTAAGTTGGGGGGGCGGTGTGTGCGCTCGGCCGGGCTGCCCGGGGGGCGCCGGGGGTAGGCAGCGAGCGGTGCCCCCCGCAGAGCGGGGAGGGCGGCGGGGGCTCCGCGGGGACACACAGACTGGGCTGCTCCCGCCGCAGCTCTGCCGGGGTCTGCGGGGGGGGGGGGGAGGGGGGCGCTTTGCAATTCTAAATTTTTTTAGGGCGATACGCATTTCTGTGGGAAACTTCTGTAGGCGGCAGAGGCGCGGAAGAGTGGGGGGCTGCCTGGCGTGGTAGGGCGCACTCTGAGCCCCCTCCAGGGCCGTGCCTCCCCGAGTGTCCGCTGCCCCGCTCACCTGGGGGGCACAGCACCTGGGCGGTGCAGGGGCCCGGCCGGGGCTCCGCGACTGGCGGTGGCGGGGGGGGGGGGGCTTCACCCCCCCCCCCCGGCCCGGGCCGTGGCTTCTGCAATGCGGTGGGTGTGGTTATGCACGGAGAGCACATCGCAGCCCCGGACCGCTGCAGTGGCAGCGGCGCGCCGGCCCCTTCCTGGCCGGCAGCGAGGGGCCCCGCCGGGCCGGGGCTGCCCCGCTCCGCCCCGCGCTGGGGACCGCGCGTCCCTGCCCACCCGGCCCGGCGCGGGCTCCAGGTGCGAGGGAGCGCGGCCCGGGCGCTGCATCCTCGCACTCCTCCCCATCCCCACGCCAGGCCCCGCGGAGTGCTGTGTGGAAGTGTCGGTGCTCGGTCAGGTCTCTGGGGAAAGGGGAATAGAAAAGCCGTGGGTGCGACCAGCGGGCGAGCTGAGCGGGTCCGGGTGCGGCCCCTCGCCCTTGGGTGGCCGGAGAGGGGCTGGGGTGGGTGGTTGGAGTAGCATTTTGTCTTTTTCGGTTGTCCCATCTTTCATTCAGAAGTGAAACTTTATCGCATATACCGAGAAGCTTACAAAGTCGCACTCCTATGATGATCGCAGTAGCAAAGCATCCTCATCTGGCCTTGCGCTGCCTTGATTTAATTTCTCTTGGGGCTGTGCTGGAGGAGGAAGGCGCTGGGTAAAGGCTGTTATCACTCACCGCTGTTCTCCAGCATGTGCCCGTGTTTGAGGCAGAGGTGGAAAGTATTTCCTCCACTGAACATGCATGCTGCTTGTAAGTTGAAGGGAAACTACCTACGTTTGAGGTCTTTTCTGTCAAAATGATTGCAAGTCAGAGGCCCGCTTGCCAAAAAAAAATAAAAAAAATAAAAAAAGCTCTGGGTTAGTTGTGTGCCATGTGCATCCGTCCTTTTACAGCCTGGTGAGCTGAGTGATACCTTTTTCATTTTACTTTTAATGTTGTTAGCATTTGTCTCTGTCTATAGAAAACTGAAATATTTGTATAAAGAAAGCAACTAAATCTCATAGAAAATAAGAATATAAGCAGAATACATAAGGCTTTGACCAGTAAGGTCAGATGCAATCAAATGTATGCTTTTTCTCTAAATCTATGGAGAAGAGTCCTTTGATAGAGTATTAAAAGGTCAAGATCATCGTACTGCATCACTGATGTGGTTAAATTCACTGGTCTTGCTGCACCTCTGTGTGTGTACATACATAATAGAGTATAAGCAAATACTGCTGTGCTGGTCTCCTTGGGTTAGAAAGTTTCAGCTCTATGTGAGCATGAGACCTGCATGGCAATAAGGGGAGGAGAAGAGAGCCCGAGAGCACCGCATTAGAGTAGGAGCACTGGGAGTTTATTCCTGACGGCACCGCATGAACAGGAGGGCTCCTTGAGCCGCTGGCATGCTGCAGACCTGCTTGCTGCAGCAGAGAACGTGAAACATATCGGGAAGCATTAAAAATACACCGGTTATATTTAATCAGACCTGTACAGCCCGTGCCGCTCCCCAGACTAACTGCCCGCAGTCGCATCCCTCCGTTAAGTGGCGCAGCTTACGGCCTTTTCTCCCGAAAGGCTGCCCCGTATGACCGAGGAGCTGGTCGGATGCGCATCAGGAGCTCATGCGATGGGAGCCCGCTGCTGCGGTGGGCAGGTTTAGCCTTGAGGAGGAGGAGCGGGGGAGGGGGGGAGCAGGGTGTGGCACCCATCCCCAGCCTGCCCCTGCGCCTCTGCCTTGGCGGTTCCTCACTGGATAGGGCTGTGTCTGACTGCTGGAGAGCTGCACCAAAACTGGAGAGGTCTGGTTTGGGTTGGGGTTTTGTTCTCTCTTCCGAGGAGGAGCAAGTGAAGGTGAAGCTACAACTTACGTAATTTTTCAATTAAACAGGGTGAAATCTTTTCTTGTCTGTAGTGGAAATCTGCAGAATATTTAGTCTTTGATGAGAAAAAATTATTGTTCACAGATTTTTCTTTGAAGTCTGGGGAGGGGTCTGTGGGTAAGAGTATAGGTAAGAGTACTGATAGGAGGTTTGTCCCACAGCAACATGGTCGCACCTATGGTTGTTAGATTTGTTGTTTGATGCATGGTTGTGAATTCCATGGGGGTTATGCGTGGTTGTTTTCTTAAAATATGTAAAATGTCACTCCTTTGTGTTTCAGGCATGATCTTGAGTTAACGGAAAGTTCTTGAAATGTGTTAAATGTGTTATTTACGGTGGGTGACATTCAGACTTGTTTTGTGGAAATCTCATGTACCAGTAAATGACTGCTTGTTGTCTGAGGGAAAACGTCAAACCATTTATAAGCGGTTATAAAAGACTACTTGTCTCTCATGAGAGGAAGCATCAGCTTTATTTCTCAAGCTACAGCATTTTCAACACAAAACACAAAAGTAACCGTGACTTTTTTTACATCAAAATACATCATTGGGTGGGAATCTCTGTATGTTCAGTGCATGTTGGGCTTTGAAAATGAAGGGTCGGTCCATGCAGAGAGAGCTGTTGTGAGTCTGCAGGATTGTGATCTTTCATTGTGTATAGCATGGACCCAGGATACCGCAGTTTAGCATCTTATTTATCACATTTTTACAGGAAATATGTTATGACTGCAGTGTTTGAATGTTATAGGCATATGTTATGAATGCAGTGTTTCAAAGTGCAAATTCTTCCAACAGAATTTCTCTCTTAATCGAGTGAATATAATGCATGCATATAACTGAAAACTATGTCTGCTGTCAACTACACTGAAAATTAGGCTGAAAGTAAGTTTATTCTGAAGAATCACGATGGATTGTTTTTATTTGGTGTGAAAGTTAGAGTATATAAGAGTGTTACCCAGAACTAGACTTAAATAAGCATCACTAAGCAGTTTGAGTCAGTACCATAAAGGAAGTCTTTTAAACAGATGAACCACTGAAAGAATGATAGATTAGCTAGTTTTTATAGCAAGTTTCTCTAAATTTTCAATCTCCAGTTTTAGCCATTCATAGGGGCTGGGGAATGGTCCAAGTCTAAATGTGTATATGGACACAACAGCACTTCCTCTTCCTTTAACTGGCTAGAAACACCCAAAGAGAAATGCTTGTTTTCTTTAGAAAGATCTCAGTTTCTTAAAATAAACAGCCTAGGTAGTGGAGAAGAGGAGCATAAAGCACTTATCTTGGCTTCAGTAAGAGAAAACCTACAGGCCCTTTGCTCCCGCCCATGCCATTCTTGATCATCATCACTATAAGCATCGGTGCAGAGGAAGCTCGGGAGGATTGCAGAGGACTAAGTATCTGTGGAAAAGCAGAAATGGGTCAGTATTTGGGACAAGTGAGTTAATCTGAGACAATGTGCTGTATAGATGGCAAAATCGGTATCTTCTGCACCCTTCCTGAGTAATTGATATAATGCAATTTGAGTAATTGTCAGCTTTCTGTCTCTGGAGGAAAATGAAATCTTTACTTTTTACTTCATCTTTGTATCAGCAGAGCTGGCTGTTCTTGAATAAAGTGGATAAAAGCAAAAAAGGAAATTATAATAATCTATTTGCATCCTATGGGATGCAGTATGCAAAAGGGTAATACATAAATAAAAAGTATATGAACTAAAAAAAAAAACAAGGTGTGGGGAAAACTTTTTACATAGACCTCTTAAATTTTTACCCTTTCCTTTATGTGTCTTGGAAATACTTTTTGTGGCACAGAGAATTCTCTTCAGTGGCTTCACTGCCTGTCAAAACTGATCTGTTGGCAAGCTGAGAAACAAAAGAAGTACTGAAATCTGCATGAGCATCACCCACCAGATGTTTGATCCCACTGAGAAAAGTCTTTCAGTTTAGAGGGTTAAAGAGGAATGTGGAAAATGAGGACTCAGAGCATGTGTTGGAGTAAAGGGCTAGAATAAATGGAAAGCATATGTGAATATAAATAAATATTTTCACAAAGGCGAAGGGAATGTGAAGAGAAAAAAGCAGGATACAATTTTGGATACCTGCTCACATGCATGTATTTGTATGAAACAGATGTTTATTGGCAAATGTGACAGAGGGAAGTAGTCATAGCACTGCTCTAATAAGTGAGAGGTGGGAGAAGAAAGCTCCTGTATGGAATAGAGAATGATGTTTCTGTTTTGGGGCTATGTTAAAATTGAGACTACCAAGGAGTAGCGTGCATCCATCGCTTGGCTCTTCTGCAGCCTTTTTCCTAAACCAGGGGTTGGGGTTTATTCCCAGATGGGCTGCAGGTAGCAAGTGGGGGGGTAATTTGGGGTGACAATAGCTGACCCTGGTGGGCTCTTGGCTGGAGCCCTGTTGATGATCGGTGGGCTCTTCCTGGGAGAGAGATAGGGAAGACATCAGTCCGTGGCCCATGTCACACCAGAGCAAGCACACTTACGTCTGTCGTTTTGCTCTGCTCTTTAGTTGTGTCCTGCTCCTCCAGTCAGGCTCTTGCCTATTGCTCCTGCCACATGGCCCTTTTCCCTAGCTGCTGTCACTGGCTGCGTGCCCCTTTCTTTGGGCTCCTTGG